TTCTGAAGCCGGATAGTCTACGGACATCCCCCTCTCCCAGGTACATTGCTCTAAGTTGCGACTCAAAACCCAAGGTTGATAGGAAATTAGTTACGTTCACAGTAGATATCATATCCGCACAGCAACTGCCAAGGTTAAAAGGAATGGGTCCCGACGATAGTATCAACCCCTACGTTGAAATTGAGCTGTTTTGTGCCGATGACAAAAAGAAAGGTCTCGCATTCGGCGAAGGCGGTGTTAATACTTCTGCCCGCAACGGCATGTCTGGTATTGGTCAACCCCATCGCCGTCGGACAAAAATCGAACAGCAGAATGGCTACAATCCAGTGTTTAACGACCAATTTAAACTATCCCTAGAGACAAAGTACCCCGATCTCGTCTTCGTCCGTTGGGTCGTCCGCAACTCCCCCGACGGACGAAGTTTTGGTGGTAACAACAGCGTGCAGCCTGCCACTTTTACCGCAAAATTGAGTAGTCTCTTACAAGGGTACAGATATCTACCTCTCTATGATGCGAGCGGCGACCAATATCTATTCTCGACGCTATTCTGCAAAATCACCAAATTCGACCCTGTTCCAGTCCGGCGAGCTGGTTTCGAAGGGTGGAGAGGGGATCAGAAGGGCATAATCAGGCAAATTAGACACACATTGTCAAAACGCACATCACCTACCGAGAGGGACAAGGAGAGGGACAGTGATCGGGATCGGGGGAAGGGTAAGGACGCACCTCAAAAATCAGAAGACTCTCATCCCCGAAATAAAAGGTCTTCTTCCACCGATAGCTCCTCTTGCACTATTCCATCTCTACCATAACAGATGAAATGGAAATCGCGAAAAAGCAATTTTCGCCATCTACTTTCCACCCCCAAACGGTGTTTGGGAATGGGTCTCATTGGACTCGACTGGCTCGACTCTTCATTACACAATCCCTCCATAGACGATACACTTGACGACACTTGACGACATGCATAATGCTAGCTCAAAATTAAACCGGAAAGGCGTTTTTTTCCCTTTGTTTTCCTCTCCTTTTTTGCCTGTGAAATTATTTCAGATTAGGAAGTTTGACATCAAATCTGGTATCAATAACATTACTTCGAAGCTTCAATTTGCATACTACGGGAAAGATACGGATAGAATGGGAACACGCTGTGTTTGGCAAGGGATTGCCTTGCTTATTTCTTTGTCTTTTCTATTTTTCTCTCCAGCACGATTGTGATTGTCAACGGCCAAATGTCTCATTTTATTTCCATAATCAGGCAGTAAAGCATATGGGTAATGAGCTTTCCCTTTCCTTGGTTGTTTTCTACTTGCGTTCATCATCCACATGGATTGCTGGAGGTTACGTAAACAGTCTTTTATTACTATCGTTCTAATATCTCTGATGTATTGTTAAATTCTTCTTCGTTTTTTAACTCATATGCTATACCATACCATTCCGGAGAATAGTTTTTTAAGTATTTACATTATTATGCCATACTTTCTTTTTTCTGTCCACTTAAGCCCTCTCTATTTGTTGAACTTGGTTATTCTTGCTGTTTGATCTCATGGCAAGGTAGCTTCGGGGGAATCGGAGCTGTGGATGAACAATACTCAAGGCGAATATACGCCTTTGTATACGCACGGTCGTACCGATGATGTCTATTCTACTCGTAAACGGGGCTACCGGATACTTGCATTGTACGCGCATTGCCTTATGATGCTAGCTTTGAAAACCTTTCGCCTTTTTGGTCATTCAGACGTCATTCAGACTATAGCGGTGCGAGCGTCCACCAGATCAAACCCCTCGAATTATCATATTGAAGCGGTGTTAACACAATTATTAATAGCATTACCAAGCTAACGCGTCGACGCAGTGATCCCCCCATCCACAACGATTTTCTGGCCAGTTATATACTCGGCCTGCTCAGAAGCCAAGAAAACCACAGCATACGCAACATCAAACGGATCTCCCATCCTCCCCATCGGTACAAGCCTGGTGTCTCTTTTCGACGAATCCCTCCAAATCCCCCCCGGCATACTTCTCCGCCAGCAATCCGACAAGTGGCGAATGAATCAAACCAGGCACTACCACATTCAACCTAACACCCTTCTTCGCATAGATGACAGCAGTGGTCTTCGTGAACTGTATCACCGCCGCTTTCATCGCACTATAAGCGACCTGTGGCTTGCCGATATAGAGCATCCCCGCAATCGAGGAGACATTGACAATCGGACCACCGCCCTCCTGCCCCTCCATTATCGGCAACACGTAGTGACAGCACAAATACACCGATTTCATATTGACGGTCGTCTGGCTGTCCCACGACTGCTCAGACATTTCCGCAGGCCCCGCAGGCTCCGATCGTCCGACGTTGTTGACCAAGATATCGATGCGCCCGCCATAGCGCGCCAGGCATGCATCCACCAGCGCTGTCACATCGGCATCCTTAGTGACGTCAGCGCTCATCACAGTGCATTCACCCGCCTCTGCCTCGATGCGGCGTTGAGTGTGTTGTGCTACGGAAAGGTGGAGGTCGCAGACAAATACCTTGGCCCCGTTTGCCGCCAGAACGCGGGCGGCTGCAGCGCCGTTTCCCCACATGTCTGGATCACCGGACTGGCCGATGCCTGTTAGTAGGACGACTTTCCCTTTGAGATCTGGGTAAATTGTGGGGTTGAAGGGGGGGGGTTGTCTTTGTGGTTGACATCATTCTAGCGAGGAGGGTTGAGGAACAAGGGATTGCCGTGGATAACAGAACAAAGACTGTGGCTGTCTCCCCTGAAATTATTTGGACCACTATCCTTTTTCCTTCCTTTGATCCAGGTCTCTTCTTTGCTTTTCTCCTTTTCTCCAATCTTAAATATTTTTGGCTCTTGGGATGGGAATGTTCCAGAAAGAAGTGTTATCGACCGCAGTTGTACGAGAAATATACAACAACCTCGATGCAAATTTGAGTTTCACGACAAATTTTAGTGCAGGACTGATTTATAGTTTGATCTGTTTGATCTGTAGCAGCTGGCATCAGGAATCGCAGATTTGTATGATGTAACTAGCGGGGTTATAGCTGGGGCGGGACAGCCGAGTCGATCTTATCGGGATCGGCAGTCTCGGCAATTCGGTGGCCTCATCCAACATCGGCTCGGGAATTTTGGTCCTCCCGCCTTCAGGAACGGGCCGAACCCTCAAAGTGCTAATTTCACCTAACCCTTCGCACGATCGGTTGTTAAGCATAACACCATCATTGGGGCAAGGGATTTGGTGCCCGATTCCCAAAAGAATTATGAGCCTCAAAGCATAATCTACGTCAATATCCGGAACATCCTCTATATATATATGTATCATAGATCTCACCGAATTTCAAGTTTTTAAACCTGTACATGTAAGTATGATGAATAGCGAACAATCTTTGTTGTCAGCGCACGAGCATTTTAAGATAGACGCGCAGGGTTAGGTTTAGAAACGTGCATACTTAAAATGGTAACTACGAGCGTCGTTGCTGCCGCCGACGAAAAATCAGTTGTATAGCTCAGATGAGGAAGTTGCGACAGAGACCTGTTGGGATGGGCCACTTGCAGCCTCAGGGAAAGAATGAAAGAAAGAACTGTCTCTCTCCTCAGCAGTTACAACTTCCGTTTGTTAGAGGTAGTGGTGGCTCCTTCCTCGAACACCACTGCTCTTTCCAAAATTCATCTCTCATCTCATCTCTTCTTCCCTTTTCTCCACCGTTAACAACAGCGTGAATAGGTGCCTACCCTACCCCTGCCTCCCACCGCCCATCCGCAGAACTAATTCAATGCAGTGGCAAATAAATGATGACGTTGACGGAGATTTGTAGGCCTCCTTATCCTCGTGCCGGCGTTCCCCTGGCACCCTCTGGTGCCGGCCTGGGCCCGCGCAATCCACAAGGAGCGGCTTGCATGCCTGTAGCAGCAATCGGTATCCCGGAAGTTGAGGTCGCGGCCAATGAATTCACATTTTGACCTTGAAGACTTACAGAATGGCAGAGGCAGTCTCAATGCTTCCACGCTCTTGGATTCTGAGCTAGCATTCATACTGTGTGATGTTGATGATCCCTCGGTGGCCCACCACAAGCACCAACAATAGTTATCCCTCTGATGCTTTCGGCATGGCCCACGCTGATGAGAAGAGGAGAGCTGGCATGGAAGGAGGGCAACTGTGAAGAGTCGCACTTCTGCGCGGGTGAGTGGTAGCCCTTCTGGAATGAAGCTCAGGTGAGTTCAATTTGTTGACTTGATTATTACTCTCATCAGAGGTCGAAAAATAAAAGGTGGTCGTCCACGGTAACTCGTCCACCATCCGTGGTGAACCTGTTAGGTACTGCTTTCATTTTCCATGTTGTGGTAGTGTTTCAAATAGCTAGCTACCCGAAACGGCGAACAGAGAGTAATTCCACTTTTTTTTTTATCTTAAGAATAATGCCAGCCTGGTGGATACCAGTTTATTTTGCATGTAATGGTTTTCGTCCAAGGTGTGACCAGGTTCCGTAGGTAGCTAGGGACATACAATTGGGATATAGACTTGAATGAGGTAGGCTCCCCGGTGATTCTGTAGTCCGTCCAAATCGGCACTCTCGATCCTCCTTAAGTAATTAGACAGACTTTCTTTTCTATATTCGATATTCGACATTGCCACTTCTCAACTTATAGACCCTTCTCTCGGCTGCAGAGAGCTTTTCTAGCTGCAGAAGCAAAATATCGAGGGCATCGAAAATGGTCAGCAGACCAGTCCACGCTCAGAAGTCCACCTTTCATGGCGTGGAATAACAGAAGGGAACCTGGGTGTTGATGCCAAAGACTTGGGGGCAGGCGATGGAAAGCCAATATGTGTCTACCTTGGTGGAAATGATAGAAATGCAGTACAATGTAGAGGTTGTAGCTCGAAACAGGCGCGATGGCGGAGTGGTTAACGCGAGAGACTAGAATTAAGTAACTTAACTTACCCTTTAACTAATCTCTTCCCTTCGGGGGCGTAGGTTCGAATCCTGCTCGCGTCGAATTTACTGTTCTTTTTTTTTTTTATTTCTTTTTTTTTAATTTCTTTTTGGAGTTGCTGCGTTATGGAGCCAAGGATAATTCCATTGGTTCGAATACGCCAACAGCATAGAGAAATGTACTCTGTAACCCATGTGAAAACATTGAATATCATCAGCCGAACAAAAAAGTGTTCATCAACATTGGGACTTGAAACCCGAAAAAGCGAAAATAGCCAACGGGATTACGTGCACAACTTAGAACATGTAAAAACTTAACAACTGAAAAGAACCACGCCGTCGGATACCCAGAAAATGAAACAAATATTCACATGGACGGAAGTAGGGAAAGCCCATGGTCTCTTAAAAACGATCATTCCTAAACGCACCATCCTATCCATCTGCTTTTCAACTGTGTTCCTCATCAAGGCCAAGGATGGTTCTCAAAACCGAAACTTCACTGTGGTCGCGAGTGTTTTTCATGATATGGCAGAATGGAACATTAACTTTAATTTCTTCATCGCCACCCTCCGCTCCGTTTGCGAATTCAGCTTCGAACAAGAGCTCCCCTCCATTCTGCCATTTGTTTCCAGATTGAAGCATATCGCCGGAGAGTAATCGGCCAAGGGTCGTAGTAATTCCCCGAATTACTAAGGAGAACATCGAGGACGTGGAATAGTTTGGAGCGTTATCTCCAGCGTCCAATGTCATTTTCATGTCAAACAAAGCATGGAGGCATCGAGTAGGGTCTGTATATATGGGGAATGGGCATTTCGTGGTGTCCCTGTAAGTCGCAATGAGACTTGAAGCGCCGCAACCAACGATGATAATAGTAGTATTGGTGGGTAACTGCGATGGCGCTGGAATACTCTCGGACACGGCCTTGACATAGTCTTGACAGCTCTGTAAAGAAAAAAGTCAAATAGTGGTTCTGTTCGAAACATGTGCTCAAACCATTTGAACACAGAAACAACGAGCTTCAGGTTGAGGCCTTTTGTAGCTCTCTGCTTTCTCCTGGAGATGGATCTATGCTCGCAACTCAGGAGCAGGGGCAAATTTGAAAATTCTATACTAATGAACGCGAACAACTTACTCCGCAAAAGAAATGGCGAATGAAAATAATTAATGTTCGCTTCTTTTCCCCTCGTCCCGATGGTTTATACAAATCTCCAAACAGTACTTCATTCCCATCCGCATCTAAAACAGAGAGCTTAGCAGCGTCTCTTAAGGTAGACTCTGAGGGCATCTCAAGAGGGGAATGGGTTGGGGGATTCATGGTTGAACTTTTGCTTTGCGTAAGCCTCTCTCGAGTGTGTAGTATGTTTGTTGTGTCTTCGCGTTGTTGCAGTCAGTGACTACTATTTAGCTGGTTGGGGAATACGACGGGTTGTTGGAGATGGCTTAAAACTGAGGCGGGTGGTGTGGCTCCAATAAGTTAATGTGGATGCCCTCCTCTCCTCACGGCCGTACGCTGCGTATCTAGAGGCTGGACCGAACAGCGGCGGGCGTAACTTAAACCTTAGAACTAGTTAGGCAAGGACCGGACCAGGGTTAGCTTTTCGCCATGCCGCCCGTAGGCAGAGTTCTAGTTACTGTCTTCAACTCACTGCTTTGTCTTGACCAAGATCTAAACAGTGGGCAATGTCAAACCAATAAACTATCATTGCCGGTAGAATGATGTAAGACGAGGAGAACATCAGCTTTCTTGCAAAATCAAATAATGGTTATCTACTTCTGAACACCTAGAGACGAACCAATGAAGTCAAGAAATCTATGTTCACTAACTCCGTACCGTGAAATCATAATATTTAAATGGGAAACTGGATTGAGAGTTCTCCCGCTAGATAAGGACGTTAGCAGGAGTTGCTATAAGCATGCAGAAGAATATAGATACGGGATATCTAATACCCTGTCGATATACGTTCCACACCACCCAATGACCTATGCCCCTATTACTATGATGGAACTACAGAATGGCTACTGAAATATTTCAGATATACTGAAGAAATCATAACTGTATTGTCGACCAATTTCAAACTAAAACGGCATAGAATAAACAAATTTTGCGCATATATTTTCCCCCGGCCAACCGCCATCATCAACGTTCAAATTGTGTTCTTAGAATAGCATTTGCTTAAAGTACTTCTCTAGGAGAGCACTTCGCCACAGAAGTTGTATCCACCAGCCTTACCAGGAATATAAATATACGCTGCTGCGTTACAACTTTTCTCACACCCACAGATGCGGTGTGCAAGAGCCGCAGTTAACCGCCCGCCTTTCCACCTCCACGCCACATGGCATGCGTGCACATTCCTAACTTGATAGCGGGTTTCTAGTACTTCGCTTTAAATCAAAACCACTAGGATGCACGTGAACCAGGTCGCAAATTGCATCTGCATGGATGTGTACCGTGTTTTGTCAAATGGGTAGCTTGCATGTAAGTTAGAAACTAATACATGAAGATTCCGGCTTGACCTAAATGTGAGGTCGAGTAACAGTGGTTGGTTCTCGAACCAAAAGCGTATCCGAATAGGTGCAAAAAAGCGACGGGCGAGAAGAGAGAGCCGCAGGCCTCGAAAGCTCTTGTTCGGGCGTCAGGCAACGCATTCTCATCATGGATGGTGACTCGCGAAATTCACGTTTACTTCTGCAACAGATGTAAAGTTTCCTGTCGATGGTGATATAGTCATGGACTCGCAAGCTCTCAGTCGTAGTTTCCACCAATTTGACTTGCAAAAGCTGTCGAGACACTGCGTGCGTCATCATCATCGGCTGGGTTACCGCGGCCGCCACGAGGAACACGAATGCTCGCCGAACTTCCACCAAAGATGCTGCCGTTATCACTAGGGCCAGGTTTATATGGCTCTGCACGACCACCAGATTCGACGTAGCGTTTCAAGCGGTCAGACTGGCTCATGCTTGCCTGCTTATTCATATCGTGAATGCTTAAACCGGAGAGGCTAACGCCGCCTTGTCCGACGACACTGCCCGTGATATCGGACTCAGTTGCTGCGACAGACTCGCCAGTAACGCTAGGCGCGCCTTTACCTCTAGATCCATTGGCACGGCGGTGGCCTGGAAGTTGCGGCCAGGGATCGGCAAAGTTCCGGAACATGTGGGGATATCCAGATGGAATAGCAACCCCTCCGAGAGCGGATGAATGAACTGAGGAGACGTCATCTGGGATGTAACTCGCCACAGATCCCGTGTCATGATAGTCACCGCGATGGCCATTCCTGCCATTGACCATCCCACTGGCCATGTTAGAGGCGTGATTATAAGCCACCTGGAAACGCTGTGGTCCGCGGTAGGCCTGTTTCGGACGAGGGAATTGGACAAGGGACACCTGCAAGTTTGACAACGGCCCTTCCACGAGGCAGTTCTTCTCTTTGAAATGCAGTAGAAGGTAGTTCCACAGAGGATGCTTCGATAGAACTTTCGGGTTGCCTAGGATGACTAGTCCATATTTGGCACGGGTAAGCGCGACATTAAGCCGACGTGGGTCACTCAAAAATCCAATTCCCTGATGGTCGTTGGATCTGACACAGGAGAGCACGATATAATCTTTCTCTCGGCCTTGGAAAGCATCAACTGACGCCACCTCGATTTCTTTGTAAAGTTCCTTCTTGAAAGTGCCAGTTGCCTGCATGGAGCTGACAACGTAACTACGCTGCCCTTCATACGGGGTAATAATCCCGATGCTAGAAGGCTTCACGCCAGCTTTGAAAAACCTGGTAACAATTTTCTCCACGTTGGCAGCTTCGGTACGATTTAAATATGACGTTCCTGATGCCGAAATTTCCTCATTTCCTAGGTTTGACCAGAACATCATAGGGTTGTGCGCCACAGGCCAGGGGAAATCAACGTCCTTAAGAAGACGTTCAGACTCTGTCACACCGTTCTGCAAGGATCCATCGTAGAACATGTTTGAAGGGAACTCGGATAGACATGGATGCATGCGATACTGCACGTTGAGACGGATAGGCGCGCATCCAAGGATGACCAAGCGCTCAAATAGAGACTGGTTGAGCCCAGCTTTTGCCGCCTTCTTGTTCATGATAACAGGTCCTAGCTGTTGATGGTCGCCAACAAGAACAACTTGCTTGCATCCTAGGACGAGGGGAATCATGCACTCGGGTTCCGCAGATTGAGTAGATTCATCAATAAGGACGGTTCGGAATTTGAACTTTGCGAGGCGTGGATCGCCAGCACCAACGCAGGTACAGCAAATAACATCCGCATTGCTCAAGATCTCTTTCTCCGCAGCACGAACAAGTTGCTTGAACTTTTTCTCATCTTGGCTAGAAAGCTCACCCAGCTCAGCCTTCAGTTGATTGAGTTTGACAAGTTCGATATTGCTGTCATTGTTATGGACCTGTTCATGAAGGGAAAGGAAACCCACAGGGGATTCCACATCCTCTCGTGACTTGGCAGTGACCCGAACAGTCTTCAGCCCAGTTCTGTGGATGCGTTCGCAAAGTTGGTCAACCGCAACATTAGACGGTGCGCAGACTAACACTTGGCCGCCGTTTATTTTTGCCAGGTTATAAATAATATTAGCTGAAGTGACGGTTTTCCCAGTGCCAGGAGGTCCTTGAATTAAGCTCAAAGGTTTCTGAAGGACGCTTTTCACAGCATTAGTCTGACTGCTGTTGAGGTCTGGAAGACCTGGCACGCTGAACTTCTTGGGCATTTGAGTTCTCATAGGCCCAGCGGCAACCTCATTCCCCAAAAGTCGATGGAAGATGTAACCCGAAACGCTCATCTCATCAACAGCAAATGTTTTCATGGCTAGCTGCATTCGGTCAAAGGATGTCGCCTTCCAAACATAATCAGCTGTGAAATTATGCGTGCAGTCAGTGGGGACAGATTTATGATCGCCTTTGGTTCGCAATTCAATAGTAACCTCGTCAGACTGATTGTTAGGAATTTTAATGACGTATCCTACTCCATCCCATTTAGGTCGCAGCTCTCCAGTATATTTAAGCCGCATTTCATCACCAACAGCCAACTTCACATCGCCAAGTTCCAGCTTCGGGAGAACAAAACTCGCCAGATGCTTGTTGTTCAGTCCTAGGTCCCACCGCACAACCAAGCCGTCTTGAGATTGGGCCTCTTTCAATTTGCGATCATAGTCGGCTTCGATCTTCACAAGGGGGCCGAATACGTTCTGGTATTGGTAAGCGTCGTCATATCGAAGGAGGACTGGCGCAGGTTCGTCATCAACACCCGTTGCTTTCTCGAGATCTTCAACAGTAGCCGATGCATTATCTTTCCACATCTCCTCTAGCTTCGCGATCATTTGAGGGCTTAGATGCCGCGCGCGAAGTTGTTCTTGGTCAGACGGAGAGCTCACGAGCCATGGTAAAAAGGAACGGTCCTCGATAAGAGGCTGCCAGCGGGACGTATCCCAGTTCATATCTTTCGAGGAAGGCATCGCAGCGCAAGGTTGCCGACAGAGTAGCACCACAACAGTGTCGGATTTGGCGGGAATAAAGCCTAGAAGGAAAACATTTTTCGTCCCACAATTGTAGCATTCGAGAATTGTGTCACCAAGCGACGATTCGGGGTGCAGCTGAACTTCCTTATGCCTTGCTCTGACTAGGTGATTGACGATATGAGATGAGGAGGTGTTGCCACGCGCGCTGCAAAACCACTTGGTGCAAGTTAAGCACTTCACTACGCTGCTTGGATTATGAATTCCACAGTAACTAAAAAAAGGAAGAGCCAAAAGTCAGTATGCTGTAATCATAAACTCCATCACTTTGGCACATCCAGCGACGGAACTTATATCTCCAACTTACGCGCATGAGTGAACAGGTAGTTCCTTTTCTTCCTCCGGTTTGGTGGCGGTCGTTTTGATCCCATCGACAGGGACGCTAGCCATGCTTTCCAAATCATCATCCTCGAAGCTATCCGATATCTCGTCTTCATCATCATGTTGTCGTTTTCGAGGCCCGGTGGCTAAATTTAAGATGCTTTCATCGCCATCGATGGTAGACATGTCGTCTCCAGCGTTAATCGTAGAAGCAGAGTCTGAAACTAGATGATTTCCCATATAGTTAAAAGCCTCCATATTGACGTATATCACTTTCTCCCAAATCTATTGTCTTTCCCTTCGAGCGTTGCAGCTTGTGCAGAAGCACAGTGATTCCGTTTTCGGAGTGAAGTCGAACCTCGCATTCAGAACGACCGAATAAAAGAAAATTATTTGTCACTAGTAACCGGAGAAATTTCAAACAGTCAGCATCAAATTTTGTTTTTGTACAGTCCGTCACGAGCATTTTTGACGGGCAGATATCCCATTTACAGCGAGAACCATGCATAGCCAGTTGAGGGGAGCGTACAGCAGAAATAGCCACAAGGCAAGAATAGAAAACTGAGTCACTTCCGTTCTGCAACCCAAGGATCTATGGCACACAGACAATTAAAAAAGGTCGAAATAGTTAGAGGTTACCACCTGGGTAGTGGGAGTGATGGTCCCGGATGGCAATAAGTTGATGATCCTATCGCTACGACCCGCGAAATCTGCGATAGTTACAACTACGGCAGCCGCGGCTAACCACAAGTGCAGTTTCTAGTTCCCCGTTAAATAAAAAATAAAGTCAAAAATATCGGCATAGCGCACATGGTCCTTCAGTCAGCAGCCTTGCGTCCTTCAGCAACTAAACCACGGGTCAAAATGATTGTATGAATATTCCTCTCTCCAGATCTTGATTTGTGACGATTTGTGCTAACATAACCAACAGCGCCGTCAAGCTCGTGAACGGAGAGACTATCTCTACCGAAAAGCTCTCCTCCTCCGCGATGCTTCTATAGCAGAGAAGCGCGCGAAGCTGAAAGCTGCCCTTGCGTCAGGGAAACCGTTAGATCCCTCTGTGGCCAATGATAAAATATTGCGAGAAGATTTCAAATACGATGAATCCTTACCCACATCCTCGAAACCGGGAGACCCTAACTCCAAAGATTCTGACATGCTTGACCTCGATGACGAGTATGCTCTCACATCCGGCATCGTTGACCCTCGACCCCTCATTACAACGTCCCGTTCTCCCTCTGCGCGCCTTAGTACTTTCGCCAAAGAGATGCGTTTACTCATCCCAACTTCGATTCGGATAAATCGGGGAAATCTAGTCATTCCTGATCTTCTAGCAAGCGCCAAGGCGTCCGCACTCTCTGATATGATCCTGCTACACGAGCATCGCGGTACACCCACTGCGATAACCGTGTCTCACCTCCCCTATGGCCCAACGGCCAGTTTCTCGCTACATAATGTCATGCTACGAGCAGATATTCCGAACTCTGCACGAGGAACCGTCTCGGAAAGCTATCCTCACCTAATATTTGAAGGGTTTACCACCAAGCTGGGTGCTCGTGTCGTCCAAATCCTAAAACATATTTTCCCGCCGCGGGAAGCAAATGGGAAGCTCGGGAGTAGGGTTGTCACCTTTAAAAATATAGAAGACAGTATAGAAGTGCGACATCATGTATTCGTTAAGACTGGATACCAATCAGTTGAACTAGCTGAAGTCGGGCCGCGGATGACGATGAGACTATTCCAAATCCGAGGAGGAACGTTGGAGAAGGACTCCGGAGGCGAGGTTGAATGGGCACTCAGTCAATATACCAGGACGAGTAGGAAGAAGGACTATTTGTGATGCGTGGATTGATTATTTAAACCTGGCATGTAAATGGGCTGCTAAAAGGGATTCTCATGGGATGGCGCGCAGATAATTGCACCGGCGCAATGGTAAAACTGGTGATACTGGGATGGAGTTTTATATCATTTTGCCTCACAAGCAACCTACTTTAATATGTTCTGGAAATTTCATAATAGCACTGTTCGTTCAATTTCTTCCCAATACGTAAAGCAACACTTTCATGAGCATAGGAGTATTGATTTCAACTTGCTATATACCGAAGAAAGAAAGAACGAAGAAGAAGGGAAAACGAAAGGAAACCCAAATGGACGATGTAAAACTTAAATCAAGGGCGGATGTATTAAGGGACGATATATTGTGGCGGACATATTGCTTGCGAAAACAGAATTTTCCCAGCCCCCTCTGAAAATTAGTAGCAAAACACCACAAAAAAATCAAAATATCCACATTTCTCCAGAACCATTCAATTATCATATAATTCACATCTTTTTTCATCAAATATCATCTGAATACATGTCTTTCTAATCTTTATCATCAAATCCACATATGTCAGTCAACTTTTTTTTCAATATGTCTTGCAACATCCACTGTTCTGCTGCTTTGCAAGTCTGTACAGAGACTTCTACTCTGCACCTCAGTCTCCTCAAACTATCTATTTCAGAAGTTTCAGATAATGAAGAGAATTCAGTCAATGATGAGATGAAAGAGCAGGTGAATGAAAAGAATATAAAGACTCAGTCTGAGAATTCTTGATATCTGCAAATCTCTATCTCTAAGTCTCACATATCATACAGATTGCAGCATACATCACTTTCAGTGTATGCCAATCATGTAACTTATAGTACATGTAAAAAGGTAAATCTTGTCTCATTCTTCTGAGATGGAGATGGGCGGGCGCCCCTATATATATATAAGTACATGCTTGTTTGTTTATCATGGTTGACTTTACAGAAGGAAGGAGTGGAAGCCCCAGGAAGGAAGGGGCGGAAGCCCTGAGAAGTAGTAGATGGATGTGCTTCTAGATAGAGGAATAAGGATGGAGCAGAAGAAGGAAGGAGCGGAAGCCCTGAGGAGTAGTAAGGGTGGACACCACAGTCCCCCTGTCCGAAAAGGAGCGGTCGCGGGGAATGAAAATGGGGTGGCAGGATAAAAAATGAGGTTGAAAGAAGATGAGAGAAACCACTAATTGCCGCGGGCACTAAACCTAATAAGGAATGAGAGAGCAAGCACTAGGTCTGTTTTGAATGTGAGTTAATCCTGCTCCATTGCAGTCTGTAACAAATGTGTATAAGGTGTGAAGAAGGTGGGTCTACCGCAACTGTGGCCATAACCCAGACTGATCACCAGTGCTATGGCATTCTGAAGCAGAAGATAGATAGACAAGGGACTGCAAACTGGACTGATCACCAGCTGCAGTGGCGGGGGCGCAACTGTGGCCACAACCCAGACTGATCACCAGTGCTATGGCATTCTGAAGCGGAAGATAGATAGACAAGGGACTGCAAACTGAACTGATCACCAGCTGCAGTGGCGGGGGCGCAACTGTGGCCACAATCCAGACTGATCACCGGTGCTATGGCATTCTGAAGCGGAAGATAGGCAACGGACTGCAAACTGGACTGATCACCAGCTGCAGTGGCAGGGGAAAGTAGTGTCAATAGGAGCAGCTGGCGGGGGATGTATAAGGTGCGAAGAAGGTGGGTCTACCGCAACTGTGGCCACAACCCAGACTGATCACCGGTGCTATGGTGTTCTGAAGTGGAAGATAGGCAAGGGACTGCAAACTGGACTGCGTTCTGCCAGACCTCCGCGATCATGACAGCGTGTTTTTCCGCTGCCACCTGCGAGTAGGCGCGCCCAGTGTCAGATACCTGGGTGGGTTCGCGGGAAGCTTGTTCCCCAGCGGACTCATCCGGCCCAGCGGAGTGGAGCGGCTGGCGGGAGCCGCTCCTATTGGTTTGTCCATCCTGCTCCATTGCGGTGCATAACGGACGTGTATAGAGTGTGAAGAATATAGGTCTACTACAAACTGGACTGATCATGTAAGAATAAGTGCTCGCAGGCGATTATTCAGAGGTCTGCAGCTTGGCGTGATATGTACTGATGACTACTAGGGGCCTGTTCGGTGCGTCCGTGTGTACTCGTTCTTTTTGTACGGATCTCCACTTTTTTTAAAAAGTACAGCCCCAATATCATGACTGTTCAGTGGGCAGAGCGTCTGTACTAATAATACAGCTGCTTTTTACAAAGTACAGATGAAAATGACCAGGTGTTCAGTGGATTGAGCGGCCGTACTTGCATCTCTTGCCAAGATCTTATGAATAAGCAGTATTTAACTTCAACAGTGTGTGATAGTGTAGAATAGCACTTTTAGAGGCAATATAGTGTAGAATAGTGTAGAATAGTGTTCATAGTGAAGATAGTTAACTAATATTGATTAGAAGAAAGCTCATAAAAATGCATTCTTTTTGAACTGACTCTGAACTTCATTTAAAAAGAATGTGTTTTTGTGAGCTTTCTTTCTCCATCTTAGAGTAGTGGAATAGTGTGGTGGCACAACACCAGCTTGCTACTAATTAGACTGGCCGCCACACTTTTTGATAATACTTAAATGAGATTTAAAGTCATTTAAAGTAATAAAAATAATTTAAATTGAGAAGTAAAAATCATGATCTCATTTGAAAAATATAATAAAAGTAGACAGTAAGTCTCACTGAGATAGTATGAGACTACTATTTAATGTTAAAACTGTGTAATGAGATCAGTTGAATTAATAATAAAACTATTAAAAAATCTGACTCTGATCTCAGACACGGTCACATGATCAGTCTACTACTAATAATTAATAAATACACTATTTTTAATGAGATTCACTATTGTGTTTAAAAAGTATGGATGCACTGAACAGGCCCTAGAAGTATTCACAGTAGAAAGATAAATATAAAGATTAAAAGTATAATGTGTTCAAGCTGAGTTGTGAATAGTAGTTAGACTGACTGCCAGAATCATGAATTTCATGTTTAATTTCATTTAATCTGATCTCATACATTTCTTGATATGAATTCTGCTGAAACTAATCATTAAAAAAACATGCAAAGTGACTAGACTAGCTGCTGAGACTATGAATTTCATATTTAATCTTATTTAATCTGATCTCATACATTTCTTAGCATGAATTCTGCTGAAACTAGTCATTAAAAAAACATGCAAAGTGACTATATATCAGATCTTAAAATAAAATCATGACTTGAAAAAAATGAGAAAGTAATCTCATTTAATCTTATTTAGTCTTATTCTTAGTATAAAGTTACTATTTTTAGACATTTTAAGGTTTTTTTAGACAATTTTTAATTTTTTAAAAAGTAATACTTTTTAATAATACTTAAATAAGATTTAAAGTTATTTAAAGTAATAAAAATAATTTAAATTAAGAAGTGAAAATTATAATCTTATTTGAAAAATATGATAAGAGTAAATAGTAAGTCTTATTAAAACAGTATAAGACTACTATTTAATATTAAAACTGTGTAATAAGATTAGTTAAATTAATAATAAAACTATTAAAAAATCTAGTTCTAGTTTCAAACATAGTTATATATAGACTGGCTGCTGAGACTATAAATTTCATATTTAATTTCATTTGATCTGATTTCATACATTTCTTGATGTGAATCCCGCTGGGACTGGCTATTAAAAAAACATGTAAAGTGACTATATATCAGATCTTAAAATGAAATCATAACTTGAAAAAAATGAGAAAGTAATCTTATTTAATTTCATTTAGTTTCATTCTTGATATAAAGTACTATTTTTAGACATTTTAAGGTTTTTTTTAGACTATTTTTAATTTTTACAAAGTAAACTTTTTGAGACCACTTCAACACGGTTGAAAGTCCTTCGAAGGAAGTAAAAAGAGGTAAAATAAAAGAAGTAAAAAACCATGGGCGCATTTGAAAAAGGTAACTGAAGTAGATAAGAAAGTCTCACTGGAGATAGATAGAAGGTGTAAATGAGTCTAATGACCAGG